TTCATTCGATCAAAGATTGGATTTGGATTATTTTTTTATTCAGGAAACGGGCAGACTAAATAGCACCACAGAAGCGAACAATAAAGGATAGAAATGGCAAAACAAAAATTAAATAATGAATCCAAATTTTAAACAATTATGAGTAGCATTAGGCTAAAACATAAATATGATATCTTGATCGCGATCAGATGAGCCGTTAGATGCTGAGCCGACCCAGGACGCTTTACTTATCTCCCCACCATCAGACTCTCCATCGCTCATTGTATTCAGTGCTTCTTATGCCTCTTCAGCATCCATAAATCGCCTTCTATTATTCATTTTGTCTTTATTTATGAAACTGATAACCGCTAATTCAGTGAGTGAAAGGTGTTGCAATGTACAATGTTGAAACATAAGCGGCAAGAAAATGACAGCGTGAAAATACATGCATTATATAGCGGGTAAATCTGACCCGCTGGCGCTTATAAGTATAAATGCCCCATTTTTTGATCTGGTTTTATCTAAACAATTTTTAACAACAGGGGATTGTGAATCACATGATTTTAGTTAAAGTCAATGACTGGGAGACTTGAATGTTTAATTGAAAATCTGTTATGTACATTTGAAAAACAGCCACGGGTCAAATTGATAAATATACTACTACTACTACTAATAATACTACTAATAATAATACTAATTAACTTTCCATTTAAAGATTACTTTTTTAAGGGGGAGGGGGTTATATATTCTCTTATATATGACCTAAAAATCAGAAAATCAGAAAACTACGTGGCTCTAAATTTGTCTTTGTATGAAAGTCAAAGCTGAATCAACAAAAAACAGCTCTAACTTTTAGAGAGCTTTAATCTTTCCATAAACAGAGCTATTCTCAGAATAGATGAGTTATGTATTCTTGTCACACGTCTCGTCCTGATTATTATGACAGATTGCTGACTGCCGTCACCGCACAGTTCAGGAGGTGGCCACTCTCTTCACAAATTTCACAGCATCATCAAAGGAATCCGAATCCATCAGCATCCAAATTCAACAAATTTCATTCAGTTAAAAACAGTGAACACTTCCAGATGTGCGCTTCAGAGCCCAGAGCCTTAACTGGGGGTCTGAGTAAAGCTGCATCTGTCTATGAGACGGTTCATGCATTTGTATGACGAGGAGACGGGTTCATATCGCTCTGACACTCTCTCCCTTCTTCCTATAAAACACTACTATTAGTTTTCAATCGCTGCCTTCTTCTCCAGCACCCTTGACTCCTCTCATCCTCAGAGAGAGGATCTGGGGAGAGAAAGCTGCCATTTTGAGTGACAACCCCAGATAATGAAAGTGACAACTTTCTTTCTTTCTTTGCTACATTTTGGTTACATAGTTAAATAAATGGCAAACCTCACATGAAATAAATGGGAAATAATATAGCTCATATAATATTTAGTTTGACCTTCTGAGGTTGACTTTCAATATTTTATAAAGGTTAAGCACCTTGTTTCACTCTCTGTATGCAAGGCAGAAAAAAAGTTACACAACCCACAAATTTCATTGATGAAAAATGTGTGATATATATTACACTTTAGCCACCCATGAAGCCATATTGCTTACATTATGGCCAATTACATTCTGCAGTATTGTGTATAACTCATAAGATTTGCTGCTAAGGTTGTAGTTTGCATTAAAAGTAGGGCTAGGCTGACTGTGAGACTCCAAATAAATCACCCGCATTACTCACAGCTGCTTCTCGCTCCGCTCTCATTGTTTATATGAATAAAATACAGCAAATAAAAATGCAAATAGTCTAAAAAGTATTATTATTAAAACTAGGGTGTAAATTAGGATGCATATTTGCAAGTACAATGGTGCGATAAATGTTAGTGTTGATACAAAGACATCCATTATAAAGTGGGCCCAACAAACCTGTGACCTTGTGACCTGCACTGCAGTGATCTCTAATTGTTTTGAGCCTCAGCCAGCACAAAACAGATTGGAAATGAAATTCTAATCTTTTGTGAAATGCTTTTGCAGGTGCATCAGGTCACATCTCTCTGGGAGTGCTTATCTCTGTTTGGGTTCAGATAAGCCTGAAGGAAAATGTTCTGTAATTTTGCTTACACATGTCTATAGTGTGTGGGTTTACATCCCTTAAATATTGAATGTAAACGCAGCTATATTATTAAGTTTTACAGTAAAATAATGTCAGTTTCATCCACCAGGGGGCGGTCAGATATTATTAATAATCTGAGAGAGACCCTTGCAAAAGATGAAGGCCAAACAAAAACAAATCACAAAGAACCAAAAATGGCATGATCACGTTAAAGAGAGTGTTTACTGCATCAGTATATCTCAGCTACTCTGATGGAGAGACGGCCCACAATTCATTTAGTGAGATTAGGCTGAGGAGCAAATAAAGGCAAAAGCTAAAGCTCAGGCAGACTCATGCCTCTCTCAGCTCAAGACCGGTTAACCAACCTTTTTAATCCCTCATGATTTCCTAAAGCCCAGAGCTGAAATAAAGACAGAGCATGTTGTCTATTTAAGCTATGCATATGACTGATTCGCATTTAAATGGGTAAAATTACCCAAAAATGTCAATGTTGTCATCATTGACTAGCTTTTATGTTGTTCTAACCTTGTATAATTGTGTTTCTTCTGTGAAACACAAAAGGACATTGGCAAAATGCCCAAGAAAGGAAAATGAATGTGCATTTATAATGGCAAATTATAGAAATGTGCACCAATACTCTGTGACAACACAGATATAAAACTTTAATAATATCAGTCAAATGAGATTTGATCAGTTCAAAGGAACACATTTAAGGAATCTGAAGGGAGAATAGAATAGAATAGAATAGAATAGAATTAATAAAATAAGTTATGGAAAATGCAATGATAATTTAATTGAGTAGACTTATATTCTGCTTATGATACATTGCATTTTTATACTAGGAGTGAGTCTCGTGGTCAGAAGAAGACAAAAAAGAAGAAGAACATTTTAAAAGTTAAGACTTGATTTCAGAGAATATGTCTTGCCTCAACAAGGAAAGTGACAATTTATTTATAATGCCAACATTTTAGGAAAGAAAATGATATAGAATTGGGAAACCAGTGACAGGACCACTCCCAATTTTGTTATTAAGTATCAGGTATTTAATACTTCTTCTTGATTTGGATATGTGTATAATTCTTGTTTTTGTGATAATTACATCAATGCCAAATGGGCTCAATTTGGCTTTGTTTGGATGTAGCTTAGTGAGTTTCACACCCAACCGATCGCAGAAAAAAACTTTTTTTTTGCAGTGCCCTGGCTTGTTCCACATTTGTTTGTAAAATGTACTATTTCAGATATGAATAACACCATTTCAGAGATGCGTTAGGCTCCAATAGTTAGCACGTAAAAATGGGTTTTGTTTGTTTTTATTGTGCAGAAAGATTAGGTGTCCAAAAAAAAAAAAAAAAAAAATTAATTTGTGCTCTGGGGGAATTCTGAATACATTTCAGATGTCTTATCTCAGTCTCCTCCAACAGCTATTTGAAGACTGTGGCGTATATTTGTTTTTGGACTTGGACTTGTTTGAACTTTCAGCAACACAGCAGACACTATAGTCAGCATCAGGTGAGAGCTAATTAGTTTTGTCTTTGCACGTAATTACTCACACAGTCCCTCATGAATATAGTCAACGATTTACAACAACACTTGAGGTTCTACCAGCTATTAGCAAAATCAGACTGTTAACCCAAAATGAAAGAAAAAGACTGTGAGTTGTTCTTTTGCATGGTGTTACAACGAATGGGGCCTGGAGCTTTCAAAATGGACATACAAACACATAAAAGTATGCTAAAAATGATCCATATGACTGGAATATAGTGCACAAATCATAAGAATACCTTTTTGAAACTCATGGTGCTTTTGGGGGCTTTTTGAACCTTGGAAGCTTTCAGTGTAAAAATATGGAAAACAGCAAGCATTTTCAGTACTCTTGTGCTCCACAGAAGAAATAAAGTCGTGTACGTTTGTAAAGACATGGAAGGTGAGTAAATGATGACCACATTAGAATTTTTGGGTGAACTAATCTTTTACAGGCAATAAATGGAACCTCATGGAGTCATAGATGGATTTAGTGGAATTGGTTATGGTGGTTTGCTCCTGGAAGTATAGGATCATCCTTGTCCTGGATTTTCCAAGCAGCTTAGCTTTCTAAATATTCATCTGCACTCCTGTAAGAAGTGGCAGGTAGGATTCGTCATCCTTCTGGAATGTTCCTTCCAGGCTATTGAACCATTGAGCCTCAAACCACCACAACCAAAGAAAGCTCCTCATCTTTGTGGTGAATGTTGCTACTATGGAGAAAAAAACAGAAGTAAAGTGATTTAATTCATATCCACTCATTATTCATTATGCTAATTGGTTATGTAATAAGTTTTAACACGATTGAGTCAAGGTGTAGACTTTCAAACGCACCTCAGTATGTGTTTATCACAGGAACAACAGATTTATTAACACCCAAGTAAACAGGGCCTGGGAGGACGCTGATAAGACTAACACATATTGAACTGCAGTCTGTGCACTCTGTTGCAATGTAGCTACATTTTGTGAAGCCAAAACCTGCTGAATTGAATAGTTTTACTTAGAGATAATAATATACATATATAGATATTTACAAAAAAAAAAATATGAAGGGTGGTCGCTTTTGCAAAACTTACCACGTTGAAGCTAAGGTGTTGTTGGAAGGTTTTTTGTTTTGTCACTATGCTGCTACAAGTGAGTTCTGGGTAATAGGGTTTTGCAAATCTCCAAAAACATGCCAATGCATACAATTTACTGCCATTTCCAGATAAAATGAACACTAGAGGCAGTAAAACCACCAAAACGTTTATATTTATTTTCACACATTATGATTATGGAGGAGATTATCTGTCATCTTCCTTTGCACAATACCATGTAATGACCTCAACACACTTTTACCACAGTGCATGGTTTGTAAACTAATATGCATGGATTGTCTTACTAGGTAAACTTGCTCGGTGGCTCACCTAGTACAGCACCTGCAATGCAGAGTACAAGAATAAATCACGATAAAAGAGCTCACAAACTTGTAGAAATGAAAGCTATAATGGCAGGGTTGCTTGCAAATGTGTTTTATGATACATTTATCTTACGTTTTTGTTAACACTATCGGTTAGGTTTAGTGTAGGTACATTATTTTTTAAATGTGATAGAGCATTAACCTTTTAGTGCCACTCGCTGGATATTTAATTTCTAAACTGCTGTGGAACGTACAACAACCAGCATAAAACAATACCAGATTGGCGTTCATCTGTTTTGGAAAAAACTGAATGCGCTTTTAGCGCAACTCACTGGACATTTCAATTGTGTTCAGTGTTGGTAAAGCCTGCATGAAAACATTAGTGCAGATACACAGGTACACATAAATTCAAGGCAATGGCATCATTCGTTTAATTCATCCCTATATTGCGAACTGCAGCTGCATTTACAATTCAATGTGAATATGAAACAATGAGTGCAAGATTAAATCATCATTCAAATGGACAATCTATATCTGTGTCTTCTTCTCATATTGGCAACAATTTCCTCTTCCTCCGTGACAACATTTAAGCCATGTCGCGTTTTGCTAAATCATCATTCCTAGATAATCTAGTATTCCATTCTTGTCTCGAGGGAGGAATTTTATAAACCTTAAGCAGTCAGTCACACTGCTTTTCCTGGCAGATTTCATGCCAATTTCCAATTTATAACCCGAGAGCTGAGTCCTTGACCACTGCTGAGTGTTCCTCTGTGGCACGCACCCCAAGTTCATTAAATACTTCATTAGCCATCGCTCCTGGACAGTGGAGAAGACTGCTGTTGATGTACCACACAAGAGAGGCACCTGGTTAAGACCTCGAGAGACACAGCGGGCCACTGCAATTAATAAAGTCTGCTTTTTCTTTCAAAGCACATCTCTCATGCCGGGGTTGGGCCTTAATAATATGCCCGCACGGTGCAGAGATAACCTCTTTTCTCACCCACACTTAATTTTCAATCAAAGTTCCGTCAGAAGCCATTTCCAGTCACACTTAACTGCATTAATTTATTTCATGTGAATTAAAGGAGGTAATGGGAACATTTATCAGATTCAAGAGGCCTGCAGAAGTGCGGCTTTCCTCCAATGTGTTGTAACGTAACAGTTACATGAGTCCAAACGGCGTGTGGTAATTGGCTGTTAAAATTCCGTGCTATTAGCACAATAATTGTGCTCCAGTACAAGATCAGAGGTGGTTTGTACATAAATATTTAATGAAAAGCCTTTTTGAAAAATGCAAGATTCAGAGAAATAGGTGGAGGGCGAATTCTGATACATTACACAAAAGGTCTCAGAGTGATTTAGACAGCAACAATATGCTTTTACTAGGCTATATTGTTTAAACTGTGATTGTGTAATATTCTAGAAGTAAAACTAAGATGGAAAAAAAACAATACCTTAAAATTAAGTCTGAATATTATACTAAACAGACGGACAGTCTAGCAGGGTCTAGCAGCAATCTGTCTGCCTCGTTTTGGACAAATTGTTGCTTTATAATTATTTATATATTTATAATTGATTTAATATTTTTCTTGAATAATAATAATAATACAAATAATAATAATCTTACAAAAATTCCAATAACAGTAACAGTGTTGAATATCTGTGTGCTATACAGTACATAAGAGTGCTACAGTACATTTTCAATTTGTAGAATTTTTGTTTTGTACATTTTGTGCATTGTGTATATTTTTGAAAAAAATCATGTTGTAACAGGGTAGAATGTGACAGTTTATCTGTCATATCTTAATGTTCTCACAACAAATGACATGGGAAACTGATTTTATTTTTTTGGCCACAAATCTACTCCAAGAACCAGTGTACTGTACATATTGTTAGAAGACTGCACTTTTTTGTCTATCAAAATATCTTTTTTTTTTTTTATCATGCCAAGCATCTGTAATGGAGACATTTCCATGTCCAACAGAGCCCTCTTAAAGTCTCCACTTTGCTGCAGACGGCCTCAAGAATTGCTGCATTATAGGCTAGAGTGCTGGCCTTATAGTCGATCCTCAGTAAACAGAAACTTTCCTTTTTTTACAGAAAGAAAAAGCGGCACAGCTGAGCTATGGCTTCCCACCGAATTAATGAGGCCTTCAGCAAAAGAGGAAGCAGGGATGTGGGCAAAAGGAAGGACCAATATCCCTGGGATTCCTATTCAATAACTGTTATTGCAGACGTACATTTCTCTCGCCAGCTCCGTCATTATTCTTGGGGAATGGTTGGATCCTGTGGGTTTATTCAGACTTTTGTGTGCTGGTGCCCACTGTCTACCCTCACACTGTTTCTCCCTTGTCCTTCTTTGAAACACCGATGTATTTGTAAACGTGTGATGGAAGCTTAGACATAGTGGTTTCAAATAACAAAGCTTTTCAGACTAAAAGCGTTTCTCGGTTGTACGGGTACCTCGTCTGAAGGGGAATCAGTGTCAGGTACCTGTCTGGCCTGAAAGGATATTTGTTCCTCTAAGTAAGACCCTCTTGTATTCAAGCTGTTAAAGCCTCTATAAAATAAATTAATTGACTTGATTTAAGATAAACAGCCTTGGCACAAATCAGTAGCATTAAAACATGCATGTAATTTTCATGTCAACATCTTCGTCCTCTCCAGGATTTCATTTCCTCTGTCTCTTCTGCACTCAGGGAGGAAATCTCTCACAGCTGTGAGTGCATAGTGGAAATGGCCAATCAGAAAGTGATGGTGTGGAATGCCTAATTAAAAAACAGCATGCCATAAAGAGGATATCTCATGCACATGACCTATGAGAGACTTCCTGCACTGGAAAAACACATCTCCAGCAGAGTTTTCAGGACATATTAGGACCGCGGGCATTGATGCTTAAATTTAATTAGTTCTTTGTGAAAACCAATACATATGACAGCTTTCTTGACTTTAGGCATTTGTTTGTTGGTGAAGAAAATGTTTTGAATTGGCAACATGTTTTTAAAGGATGTAGCATTGTATTATATTATATTATATTATTATATATCAGGGCCCTATCATTTCCACATAGTCATGATTGTCATGAAAATTTTAACATTTTGAATGAATAAATCAGAAGTAGGGCTGTACAATAAATCAAATTGGAATATGAAGTAGTGTCTGTAATTATTAAAGTGCAAAAAAGATTCTGTGTGTGAATGAGCAGTGGAGTTTTATCAACTACATACAGTGTATTCAAGAATGTGTAATGCTTAATAATTTAACATTAATATGAAATCACTAAAGAATTATTATATTAGTAATAACTAATGATAACTTTGTTTGTTTGTTTGTTTTAATGTTAGGAATTCAATTGATTGGACATGCATTTTGATTATTAAATATATTGTTTGTAAATACATAAATACTACTACTACTACTACTACTACTACTAATAATAATAATAATAATAATAATAATAATAATAATGAAACCAATAAAACAGAATCCAGTAAAAAAAATGCATGCATATATTTATTTAGTTGTTTAGTTAACTAAACTTTAAAATGAATTGTTTCATTTTACATTTAATTGTTCTCGCTTATTAATTTCTGAAATTTAAGATTTGAGTACTATGGAGTGGAAAGATTTTCAGGTAATAACCTATAGAATAATGACATTCCAGTATGCTGTTCTAAATATATCATATCGATGTTTTTGTGTCGTTTTCTTTTCTGAGAGCTCTTGACCCAAGACAAAAACGTGAAAGCACAAAATGTGGAATGTCTATATACTGATGCAACACATACAATGTTGTAGGCCTCGTTCACACACTGGAATCATTGTTCTACAGGCCCTTAACTCGGAAAATGAAGATACACTGCGGATGGGAAAAACATTGAATCTCAATATAACCAGTCACCAGGGAATGCTCAGCTCCAGATGAGCTCAGTTTGAGAAGGAAGCTTATAGGACGTTTATTTGAATATAAGCAACTTTCGACTTATTAAATAGGGTCCTGAAACATGATTTGTCAAAATGACAAGTGTGATGCAATGTCAGTGAAAGGAAAAGCTAAGAACCAAATGTAGGGCAAATGTGAGTCATAAATATATCATATTTAATAACCGAATTTGTATGGATTCTCAAAGATCAACATTCAATCAAAACTTTGCTTAAAAACCTGTTGAATACAATCTTCTACTACAACTTTTCTGTCATTTGATTGATAATTTATACTTTATAGCAAGTAAAAGGCATTGTATTATAATTGTAAAACCATCTACCCTCATTTTGCAGTGAAATAATTGTATTTTGCTTTCTTTCTTTCTATTTAAAATTAATAATTTTTAACTTGAACTAACATAACTTTATGTTAGTAATGTTTCAAGATGAACACTTACTTGAATGTAACAACTTATGTTCACTAGATCATATTTATGTATAAGTTATGTGTGTGTGTGTAGGAAAAAAAAATAATATACATTTTGATACATTAAGATTTTGAGGAACATTTATTTAGTCATCTCTCAAATATTGTTGTATTTTATTGAGTCATATGTTTTGCCCCAACAACAAAAAATTACAGAGCATTTATCGTAAAACTAAGCATTTAAATATCTTACTAAGACATAATGTTGGTTTATTATGTGCAATATAGACCAATATTGATATGCATTTTATGCAAATAGTCTGTTATACCATTAAACAGATCTTGTTGGTTTGCATTATAATCTATTAGAATTTCAAATCCTCCATTTTAAAAGCTGATTTATTTTCATACCTCACAATGCAAAATTGTGTAATTGCATTTTTTATTTATTTGTATTTAGCATTGTTTTATGATCTGCAACCCGATTAAGAACCATCGGTGAGACTGCCTCTCCAAGCATAATCCCTGAATATTAAATTTTATAGCATAAATAAAGTAGATCTTCACTACAACACACAAAGCTGTTGTGAAGAGCAGGTGCTGCACAAATATTACAGCCCTGTTGCACAAACCTCGGAGTGTAACATGACAAGGTTCCATATCTTTTCTACACTGAGTTCAGTCATACACCAAATTATCGCCTTCACCGAAGCATTTGACACCGATATGTCACGGTGATAAAAAAAAACATCTTGCATATCCAGCACAGCAGCATGCCTCTCCCCAGGTTCCCGTCAAGACAGCCTCACTTTGCCGTTTTTTTTTTTTTTTTTCATTCCGATGACTCCTGTCAGAAAAAAGGAAAGATCACATGTTGAGACTGCTCTGAAGGCGGCTTTGAGCATGTGTTGTTCTTCCATTACGTAACTACCTGCATCCTAATTGCTAGATGCTCGCAGAGGATGAAAGCCTCATTATAAAGAGCGCAGTTGACACTGCAGCCCCTATGAAACGTTTGATGTAGAGGTTTTTGTGGGGTTGAATGAGGTAGATCAGACATTTGCAGAGCCGAGGTCTGCGAGATTTATTTATTTTTTAATTTCACAGAAAAGTAATTACAGGAAACCAATCTAATTCTCTGCGGGCTTGAGCGGGGCAAGGATCAGTCGGATTATATGAGGAACATCGAGATCAGAAAAGTATGTAACAACAAGGTGTTGTGAAGCACCTAAAATCGCTGCTGAAGCAGCAGGTTACAGAATACGTCAGTGAATATTGCTGTGTGAGGAAAGTTAGTACACTAAAGGGCCTTTTTGATTTCCCTTTTTCCTGCTTTCTTTCTCAGCAATGCGTTTATGATGTAGTCGTCAAGATTCGGAAGCGCTTCCCAATGGAGAAGAGGTCTAGGACCATTGAGCTTGGGGTAAACAGCTCTTGCACTGGGGACTCAGTGCCTGCCTGGAGACAATGTGCACATTGAAACACAGAGGGATCTTTTAGCTAATCCTGTGGAGCGGCCTGCCGAGGGGCCAATCAATGGAGCTTTTATTAGGCGGGCCTGATACATGCCAGCACTTTGCTACTTTAGTAACTAGCACTCAGGAATCTTCAAGCAGGGAGTTCAGACAAGCCGTGTGAAGATGACCTTGACCATCCAGAATTCCCCACCAAATAAACTCCCTATTTGGGTGCAGAACTCATGGTCCATGGATAGTACAATATACGCTAGCAGGTCTGAATGGTATTGGCCACACTCTGTGGAGTAGAACACATTTAAATGCTAGGGATGAAGTGCCACACACACTTACTTCCCATGGCCTGAATTACAACATCAAGTGTGTGCAAATAAGTACACAATGAGAGATCTTGAGATTTTAGGATGGTGTTTACGTCCCTTTCTTAATGTAAACCCCCTATTCTATCACATATGTCCAACGTTGGAGGTAACACATTACAAGTAACGTGAGTTACGTAACCAGATACTTTTTTTCAAGTAACTAGTAAAGTAACTAATTACTTTTTTAATTTACCAGAACATATCTGAGTTACTTTTTCAAAACAAATAAATCAAATCAAATCAAATCAAATCAAATTGAAGGCGGCTTTGAGCATGTGTTGTTCTTCCATTACGTAACTACCTGCATCCTAATTGCTAGATGCTCGCAGAGGATGAAAGCCTCATTATAAAGAGCGCAGTTGACACTGCAGCCCCTATGAAACGTTTGATGTAGAGGTTTTTGTGGGGTTGAATGAGGTAGATCAGACATTTGCAGAGCCGAGGTCTGCGAGATTTATTTATTTTTTAATTTCACAGAAAAGTAATTACAGGAAACCAATCTAATTCTCTGCGGGCTTGAGCGGGGCAAGGATCAGTCGGATTATATGAGGAACATCGAGATCAGAAAAGTATGTAACAACAAGGTGTTGTGAAGCACCTAAAATC